CCATCTGACCTGACCGCCGAGCCCAGGGCCCTCCAATGTCAGGGAGGTGTGCGTACCCTGGAGCAGAAGGCCGGAGGTGGGGTCCGGGTGGGCATCCGCAGCTGTGTGTCCAGAGGGCGTCCCCCGGGGGCCTTGACGCTCGCCCCACAGTGAGGACTGTGCAATGGATAGCAAGTCGGGGGGCCCTCCCCAGACTTCCCCTGGCGTCTCCTCACCACCCACTCAGGAAGTGGGTTTGTGACCATGTAGGGGGTGGCACAGGACAGACGGACTGCGTCCTGGCACCCTTCTGTAGGAGGCGGCCGGCCGGGCTAGGGCTGTGAGGAGGCGCATGTGTGCAGGCTGGGGGCGCTGCCGTGTGACCCCCGTCCGGTCTGGGACCCTGTAACTGGAGCAGGGATGGAGGGGAAGTAACATACCAGGAGCAGATATCAAGCACCAGACCCCTTGCTACGTATTTCCGTGCTTTCTTGAATTCCTCCTTACCAGCGCCCTGGGAGGGAGGCCTTGTTGCCCCATTTCGCAGGTAAGTTATCTTGTTAATCCTCACTGCAGGGAGCAGAAGCCGCTGTTCGCCCCACTCCACAGCAGCTGTCCTGGCATGCAGAGCCAAGTGGCAGAACTGTGGTGTTGTCCCCCGTCTGTTGCCTCAGGAGCGAAGCCTTCACCCCTCAATCCCTGAGCCTGGCCCTCTCGACCCTGGCCGCACAGGGGAGGCAGCAGGGAGTTTAGAGACAATGGTGCCTGGCCTCCCAGACCACCAGCTCAGAATTGCGGGGCAGGGGCCCTGGCCAGTACCTGCTGGGAGCTTCCCGGGTGATAGTGGATGCAGCTGCTTTGAGCCATCTGACCAGATGATCTTTAAGGCCCTTCCAGCCTTCACGTGTTACGTAAACTGGAAAGTGGCCAGGGCTGAAAAGACATCTGGCAGTGGAGTTAATCAGGGTTTCATATTTTTGTCTTTCTTTTGTGTCTCTTGGATGTAGGGATAGTGGCAATGGTGGGTGGTGGTAGATTTCTGGAGGGGTGACGCTCTGAGTAGGACCATCCTGGGCAGGCCCCGCTGTCCAGGCCTGATTCTGGTCCTTTCTCTTCCTCAAAGATGGGATTCTTTCCTCCTTTGCGTTTTTCATACCTTGTCCTGGAAAAGGCCCTGGGATGCCCCGTGTGTGTATGAGGGTTTACGGGTGCACGTGCAGAGGGGCACGAGCCCAGCCTGCCACGAATCCTCAGGCCGTTAGAGTTTGGGAGGTCTTCCCCACCGTATAGCCCCTGGGAAAGGGACCCTGTGGAATTTGCCATCCAGAGAGATTCACTGAGAAACTGGGGGCTGGACCAGCAGCTGCAGGGCTGGGGACACTGCCATTCTCTGGAGTGGAGCTTTCATCTTACACAGGCCGGGGTGGGCATCGGTCATCACTGAGTGTGGGCCCGGTTGCTGGGGCTAACGGAACAGGGCGGCCAGGACGGAGCGGTCCCTGCTGTCACAGGGCGCTCACTCCCCTCTCATCCCTGGCTTTTCCCTGGAGAGCGAGGAGGTGGGCACAGAAGGCGCTTGGAGCTGCATGGTGGCCTTCTAGAGTGCTTGACCTCAGTCTGGTGGACAGTGGACACCGGTGTTGGGGGGTCAGGGGGCGTACTTGCTTCTGTCTCCCGCCTACTAGCTTTCAGCGAACTCCCTGTTCTCTGCGCTTCTCTGTGGACTTGGCTCCTTGCCTCTGCATTCCCAGGGCGTGGGCTCACCTTATGAGACTGGTGTCATCTTAGTGGTGGGCCTTTTTCTCAGGTATGAGCTGAGAGGCTCTGAAAGTGCAGGAAGCTCAGATAAGCATGAGATAAATGGCCTCTTACTGCTTTTTATGGCCCTTTGGTTATCGGGAAGCTTTGGGGAGGCCCCCGAAGGAGTGTTTGCTCTCGGAGAGAATTGTAGCCAGGCAGCAGCTGGGAGAGGCTGCCCTCTGGGTGGCTGTGGAGTGGGGCGGTGGCCTCGCTGGGCGGTGGGAAGGGGCAAGGAGGAGGCCCCCCCAGCCTCTCGTCTGTCTGCCGGGAGGACACCTGCTGCAGTCCGGGGGCGGGGGGGCAGCGGAGCTGGTGTCCAGAGCAGGGCTTTGCAGGCAAATTGCAGCTCTGCGACCTGCTGGCACTTTCCTATTCTGGACCTCTGTTTTTTCATCTATAAAATGGTCATGATAATACATGCACTTGTGCTCACGAGGCCTTCCTCAAGCATTCAGCATGGCACAGGGTCCAGAGTAGGTACCAGCCAAGGGAAGGGCATGGGTGGGTGGTGGTCTCCAGCCGAGCCTGGGAAGACCTGTCCACCCATTGGCACTGGCCCTTTCCCGCCCTTGGCGCTCGCAGTCTCTGTTTGCCTCAGCCATGGAGGCGGTGGGGGCAGGCATGAAGGTGATTTCTCTCGGCTGTAAGATTCCCACTCCCCAGCCCAGGACCCAGACTAGCTTCTCTAATTGTGTAGGCGGCTTAGATCTACACTGTCGTCTTACGGTGGCCATTAGCCACATGTGGCTATTTAAAATTAAATTACGTAAATAAAATTAACAAATAACTTCACTGTGTTTTGGTGATGCTTAGCCTGGAGGCTCATATTTCAGCCACTCCCGGCTTTTAGTACATCATAAATTATTTCCAGATCCCTTCTAAAGCTGCCTAACCTCCCCCCAAAATACTCACTGCCTCTTGATGTCACCTTCAGAGTTTACCCAGGGCCTTCTCGGGTGTTCTCTGGTTGAACCACACCGCAGCCTTGGGGCTGGCTGTTAGGATTTCTCTTGGACAGAAACTTGAACGTGTTTATTCCCAGTGCTATTTCTTTCTTTCCCTTTAAAAAGAAGGATGTCTGAATAGCCAAGCGAGGTTCAGTGGCCTTATGACACAGCAAATATGTGATGTAGTTGAATATTTAAATGCCACTTCCCTCCTTCCAAGTGGTCTGGCTGGAAGAAGACAAACTTTGTAGGCAGACAGGCTGGGCCATAGGTCCCAGCTCCTTCTGCTGCACCGAGTGAGCGACCCTGGCTAAGTAGAACTGAGTCTTTGTTCCTCCATCAGTGGGATGAGGATAATAGTACCTGCCTCGTATGCGTTCCTGTGACTCGAAATCTGAAAATACAAAGCAAAACAGGCAGCAAGCAACAGGTGCTTTGTAATGGCCCCCGATCGTCATGGGTGACCTATCAGAGCAAAGAGAGCCTGTGGCTGGGACTCTTTCCAACCCAATTGCCGAGCTCATGTCGACTTGGGCTGGAACGGCTTGGTTCTGTCTCAGCGGCTGGATTCAGCACCTTCAAGATGTCCAGGGCTTGCGTCGGTGGGGGCCCAGGGAAGCTGTTGTTAGGGATGTGAGCTCAGGCGGCTCCCTTCAGCCCCCCACGCCCTCTCGCTCTAGCCCCGCCCTGTCTCTAGTGGGCGGAGATTTGCTCCTCCAGTGGTGTAGGGCCCCTAGACGGGCACTCATGTGCGTGGCCACTAGCCACAGGTGGCTCTTGAAAATTAAATGAAGTTCCTTAGTCACATGAGTTCCAGTAATGAACTTCCACACATCACATTCCAAGTGCACAGTAGCCACACGCGGCTCAGGGGCCGGCACAGACACTCTCCGTGCTCTACCACCTGTGCTGCTGTCGGAGGAGGCCATGCGGGGGCCAGGCAGGCTGGCTCCTCGGCCTGGCTCTGCCACTCTGGCGGTGTGATCTCGGGCAGGTTCCTCTGGCCCAGCGCCTGCGGGCGGGGAGGATGCAGGATCCACGTTGTCTCGGCTGCTCAGGGGAGGTGCTCCCTACCTCCTCCTCCTTCCCTGCTTCCTGCACCATCCTGGTGATGCCTCTGCCCCTCCTCCTGGGGCTTGGGTGCTGGGACGTTCCAGAGAATTCTTGGCAGCAGTGGCTGCTGTCTTGGACCATTACAAGTGTCTCCCCTCTGGATTGGCAGGTGTGGCCTTTGATTTTTTTGAGGCTGGACTTAAAAAAAAAAATCAACATTCATTCTGGAATAATTTTAGATGGACAGAAAAGTTGTCAGGAGTTCCGTATACCCAACAGCCAGTTTTCCCCATGGTTCACATCTTACGTGACCACGGAACGTTTCTCAAAACTGAGAAAGCAGGCTGGGCACACTACCATCCCCTGAACTCCAGGCTTTCTCCGGATTCCACCAGCTTTTCTTCTTACACCCTTTTCTGTTCTGGGATCTTTTGTTTAGCCCGTTCGGTGACAGTTTTGCAGTCTTCCCTGGCTTTGCATGATCTTGGCAGTGTTGGGGAGTAACAGCAGGGTTTTGTAGACTGTCTGGGGTTGTCTGGCCCTCTTCCCATGTTCAGACTGGGGTTGTGGGTGTGCAGTTACAGTGATGCGGAGGAGAGCGGCCCATCCTGCCAGAGTGCGGGATGTCTGTGTGATGCCGCTGCAGATAATTCACTTGACCGCTTGGTGGAGCTGGTGTGAGCCGCCTCGCTAGTTTTCCCTTTGAGTCTCTGCCCCTGGGAAGCCGGCCTGTAGGTCCAGCCCATCCTCACGTGTCGGGGGCATGAAGCTCTGCCTCCCATGTCTGGTCTAGTGAAGCTTTGCATGACCTTGTTTCTCACAGGGGGCAGGGGTCCTCCAGCCCTTGCCCCCATTTTGCAAGTGGGAGAATGGGAGATGGAGAGCCCGCTGAGTCTGACCTGGAAGAAGGATGGGCGCCCTTGAGGGGAAGGCCCCTGATCCTCATCACTGTGGTCTTCTGGTGCTTTCTAAAGACGGAGAAACTGAGAGGGGAAGGGGCTTGTTCAAGGCCAGCCCAGCCATGGCCTCCCCAGCTCTCCTGACTGAGGACTTTGGGGGCAAGTGGCTCCTGGCCCTCCGCCCACCCTTGTGCCTCATGTGCCCTGCCCCCCTAGTGTGGGGCTGCCAGAGGCTTCGCGGAGCCTGCTGTCCTGTCCCTCCCTGCTCAGCTGCACCATCCCTTTCCCTGCTGGCTCACTGACACTGTTTTTTGGCCCACAGGGTGCCACCAGTGGTGAGCAACGGGGATGCGGTGGATGCTGCTCTCTCCGGGGTCCGGCGCTCCAGCTGGAAACGGAAGAGCTCCCGCCGGAGTAAGTGCCCCCCAGCCCCACCCCAGGAGGGTGGCACTGGGATAACCTCAGAGCCCCTCCTTCAGGCCCAGAGGGCTGCTGTGGGCTTGCATGTGCCATGGGGTCATCCTCACTGCCCATGCTTGGGAGTTGCCCCTGTTTGTTGCCTGATGAGAGCCATGGTCCAGGAGTTGATCATGTATTTGACCGTTTATCTGTTCCTCAAATACTCAGAAGCTCCTACAGCAGGGCAGATGGGCTGGCAGTGGAATGCCCTAGTGCCCAAGGTGAGGTCCTTCTAGGAGCAGAACCAGCCACATAGGCAGTTACCTTGCAGAAGGCCAGGTGCCGGGAGTGGGGGGGGGTGGGAGTGAGGGGAACCCATGAGTCCTGAAGGCAGAGAGGAGGGAGCAGGGGTCAGGAAAAGAGCATCCATGCAGGGGCCCCTGGGCAGGAGCCTGAGCCCCAGCCCCCGGGGGGAGAGGGGACATCCGGCACCCTGGGAAGCAGCAGCTGTGGTGTGATGGAGGATAGCACCCAAGGGGTCAGTGGGGCCAGGCGAGGCTGCCGTGTCCCCAGCTCCTTCTGGGCCTCCCAGCCATGCTTTCCTGAAGGCAACAGGGAACTGTGAGAGCCAGAGATGCTGTGGGGTGGGGGTAAAGCTATAAGACAAGGGATGGGCTGCAGCCCAGGGAGGAGGCTGTCCAGGAGAGTAAGGCTGACGGCCAGAACTAGGGACCTGGAGAGAGGGGAGCAGGTCTCAGAGCCATGTGGGAGGCAGGATCCCTATGGGGGTGGAAGATGGGGTGGAGGGTGAGGCTTGCCAGGGCTCTGGGGCCCTGGGACCACAGTGGGGATTTCAGAGCCCATCTGTCTGAGAAGACATGGGGTGAAGACAGACTCCCATCAGGGTGGGGACTGGTTTTCCAAACCCTAGCTCTGTGTTGGGGGGCACACCCCTAAAGAGGACAGAGCTTGGGGACACGGTTTTGAGGGGAGACCTCTTTAACTTGCACTTCCTGGTAGCTGCTAACGGGGGGAGGGGGGGCCAGAGTGGGCGCCCTGCCCTGCTTACTGCCCGCCCAGCAAAATGTTGGCAGAGGGATGTGTTCATTTGCTGAATTTTTCACCAGTCACGACCCTGCTGGCTGCGTTTTGGGGGCCCTCTCCTTAACCCCACTCTCCAAATCCACCCCCCCTTCCCTGTAATCAGTAGGGCTGCTTTGCCCCGTCCACCTCTGGGTGGGAGGTAGCTCCTTTTGGGTAGTCCTGAGGGTTTGGACCGCTGAAGATGCTCCCGGACCCCAGGGCACAGGTGCTGGGTCTGCTTCCTGCTCCCCGCAGGTGCCCGGTGCAGCTGCGGCGTCAGCCAGATGCGCAGGCCTGTGGGAGGCAGGGCGGCAGGTGGGGGGTCTGCCGTCCTCACTGGGAGGATGCCTCGCAGGGCTGGGGGGCGGGGAGAGGCAGTGGAACCGAGTCCTGGGAGAGCCGCCGGCAGGGGCTCCCGAGGGGCCGGGCCGCGCGGGCTGCTGGCCGCGGGCGGGGGGGAGCGGCCAGCTGGTGCAGTCCTGCTGTCAGCCCGGCAGCCGCCTCCGCCCGGGCGCCACAGCCGCCTGAGCGCTCCTGTCCTTTCCCCTCGCTCCCAGTCGACCGGTTCACTTTCCCCGCCCTGGAAGAAGATGTGATTTACGACGACGTGCCGTGCGAGAACCTGGATGCCCATCAACCCGGTACGCCTCCTCCGCGCTTCCCTGCGGCCTTCAGGGGGTCCCGCGGGGGCGGGGGGGCGGGACCCGGGGAGGGTCTGCTCCTTCTATTTCGCTGCCCCGCCCCACCCGGCCATGCCCCTCCCTCCGGCTTTCACCAACCACCGCCGGCGTCCCGGGAGCGGCTGGAGCCGGCTGGGGGCGTGGCCAGGCCGGGCCGGGGCTGGGCGGGGTCCGCCAGGCTGCCGGGGGCGGGGGGGCGGGGCCGGGCCAGTCATTTCACCTCCCTAAGCCTCCATTTCCTGCCTGGGGAGAACCGGGAGGTAGCCCGGGCTTCCCGGGGCTGCTGGGGAAAAGGACAGCTTGTTAAACCTGACCGCTGGCGCAGAGAGGATTGGGGAAAGCCTGCGCCCGGCTCTGGCCCGGGAGGCAGGAAGACTGTGGCTGTAGGGAGAAGCAGGGTGGGGTGGGGTAAGTAGAATCTACTTAGAAACTTCGCTCTGGGGTATCCTGGCCCCACTGTACGGACAAGGAAACTAGAGGCAGAGCTGGGATTTGAACTTGGTTATTCTGACTCCAAGTCCGCTGCTCTCTCCCCTACCCGAGGAGGCTTTGCGTGGCATCCTATGACAGATGACGCATATTTGCTCCCACTGTTCAGTCAACCCCTTGAGGTCTGCAGGGCAGGGCTTATGGCTCCAGGTGACGGTGGCATCAGAGAGGTTAAGCCACCAGCTGCAGATCACGTGGCCGGTTTTTGAGGAGCTTCTAGTCTGACGGTGTGGCCATCACCATCCTTGGACTGTGCATAGGCCAATGGGAGAGACATGCAGACAACATGACAAGGTCCCAGGGCCCTCAGAGCCACACTCCTGACTCTATTCCAGGAAGAGGGACAGGTGGGCTGACGATATGCCCATCCCTTTAGCAAGCCTCGGAGATGCTTGGAACACCCCTGCTTGTTGCTCACTTGAATCCAGACAGAGGAGGGGAAAGGGCACACCGCTGGGAGGCAGTGGGGTCTTGTTGGAAGGTCCCAGATCTCAGAGATCTGAGTGGCTTGGAGCCCATTGTTTCGCCCCCGTTGGGCTCTTTTCCCACCTGAATCAAATCAAGCATCTCATCACTTGGCCCCAGTCTTCGCTGAACACCGAGATGCCATCCTGCAGTTGTCCCTAATGTGGTGAAAAGGAGGTGGCCAGGCAATCAGCTCTGAGCCTTCAAACCAAGGACCCTCGGGGCTGTGGGAGGGTTGAGTCCCATGAGGCTGCGGCTGGCCCTCAGTGGGTACACTGCACAGGAAACACAGGTGCTGTTGGTGTTAGACCTGCCAGGACCCAGCACTGACCTTCATGGACAGATGGGGGCTCAGCGGGCTCTCGGGGAGGTTAAGAGCCAAGGAGCAGGTCACACATACAGCCCTGGCTCCAGGTCCCAGGTCTGCCATTGCTTAGGGCACAGAGCTTGGTGAAGCCTGTGGCCCCTGAAGGCTGAGGATTTGGCCCAGGCTCAGGAATCTGGTGACACTTTCTCCACTGGAGAGAGTATTTCTTTTCTTTTCTTTCTTTCTTTCTTTCTTTCTTTCTTTCTTTCTTTCTTT